ATTTGGATTCTCACCTGTAAACTTCATCTTCAACAACTTTCCGACCACACTGTCCATAAGAATTGTTTCCCATGGTGAATACTGAAAAACAATGATAAAACACAGCAGTTTTGTTGCTGCACAACCTCACAAAAGCTTCTTTGTAGGTACATGAGATATATTAGTAAAGCCCTCAGTATGAAAGTTTAAACACAGCACTTGAAAACTGGGCAGAAGCTTCCTCCCAGCCAAATCCTCTTAAAGTCAAGTGACTGAATCCATTTCAGCCAACAATAACCAGGAGCATTGCTGCAGCAGTACCTGGAGCCCATTGGCTGTCCTTCAGTAATTGCACAGCCCAACCTGCCGTTGCCAAGGAGACTCAGGAACAGATCAGTGCTCCCACAGGAGTGTCACATCCACCATGCAGCTCACTGGCAATCAGCAGCACTGAAGCCACTGCTCCAGAGATTCAGCACGGAGGCAGAACGCCAATTCACACAGCAGACCTGCACAGAGCCCGACTCATTCACTGCTTTTATACATGCAGCACTTGGGCTCCGCAGGGAAAGTAACACAGAACTATTGGCATAGCTATGCAAAAATGAATTCAAAAACATATCTGCCCAAACAAGACAAACAGCCTGCACTTAAAGGAGGCTTGAGGCTAGATAAACAAACCGTATTTTGCAATACTTGCAGTCAAAAAGCATCCAGCACGTTTACAGCTTCAGCCAAACAGCATGCAGAGCACAGCATGATTATCAGCTCAGGCCTCTGCTTCCTGGGAGCAATCCCACAAAGACCTGCATCACACTGACAGTGAGGCAGTGCTTCTGGGATCTAGTTCTAGAGGACATCAGACAATCTTTCTCAAGTCTTCAATGAAAGCACAGTCAGCCTTGTTACCAGCATGAGCAACACCGTACCTCCTTCGCTGTCTGTCAGGATCAGGGAATGAGCTCTGCCACAGGACACCTGCAGGACTCGAGTCTTCTGTGGCTTCTCCAGAGGTAATGGGATTGGAGATGGTTCTAAGACATATTCATAGCCTTTGGCTTAAGGAAGAGAGAGAAATAAAGAAGTCAGTTGATTCTATAAAGGAAATTCATCGTACATTTGTTGATTATACTGTACATACACAGATTCCTAGTCGATACAAAAGGAAACATTTTTGAAAGCTAGGATGCTAATCAAAGTAAAAAGGGGGGTGGTATTCATCACTGGGAGAAAAAGATTAAAAGAAATAGGGATGGCTGAAGCCATCCTGAAGAATGCCTAGCCAAAAATCCACCATACATGGACAGTGAAAGTTAATAAAGCACCAGGAGGTCAGAACTGGGAAACTGAGGCTTTCAGCCACACACTCAATCATTTTGTTGAATACGTCTGGATCACTAGAAAGCCTAACACTAAGCTCAAACTAAAGCACTCTGTACAAATGGGGATACTGCAAACAAGGTACAATAGCAGACACCACAAAAAGACAGCATGAAAGGCAAACAGAAAATCTTAGGGCTTCATATTTAAAGTACAATAAAGACCCTTTCAGAAATTGGCACACAAAAAACAATAGCAAGCACAGCTCCATAAGAGATGAGAGATCTAAGGTTCAAGAAGGAAAGTGACAGGCTGTATTAAAAAAAGATTTAGTAACTTAAAGAATGTGTAATCAGTTACATGCAACTGGGGAAAAAAAATGAACAGCAGAACATAACAAGTGCTAGGCAAAAGGTTAAGGGGAGATGAAAAAGCTGTGATATCAAAGAATATAACAGGTGAAAGCAAATCCCAGAAGACTCAATACAGTATTCTGCTCACATGTACCAGCATTTTACCTAGCTCTCACTGCCTCAGTTCAAGAAGAACACCTACACCTGCTCTAAGTCAGGTCTAAAGCCTAAGGTCTAAGTCTATCTGTCTAAAGAGACATGGATGTCACAAAACAAAACCCCTTTTTCTCTCTGTTCCTTCCAGTTCAGCCTACTGGGATCTGTGTAATGAACTCACTATCATCACTGATGGTATCTGAAAGACGTGAGAGGAAAACAAACAAGGTGGCTAAGGCAGGATAGGGTGAAGATAAAAATGTAAGTTTAGCTTAGAAACAGCTGATTCTACAGCACGACATACAGCCATCTGGAAACCAGAAGGTTTAGGTTCCCTGTGAAACAGCTCTGTGGGGACACAGCATTAGAATTAGCAGCTGTCAAAGTTAGGCTGCAAAACCAAGGAACAAGCAGCTTAGCCAACAGAAAAGTTGTCTGTGGAAAGTTAAATGTGGAGCAGAAGCATCCTCACTGATCTGCACATCACTTTCAACAGCTCCCACAAAACAGTGTGCACTCCCTTACTTAGAAGGGCTTGAACTGCAGAACTCTTCAACCTTTTTCTGGACCCTTTAGCAAAAAGAAAAATCAGCATGAAATAAAAAAAAAAAAACAAACAAACCTAGAAGACGAGAGGACACTTCTGAGACTTGAACAGTTACAGAAATAAGGCAGAGCAAGAGCTGAAATCTTAAAAAGCAAAACTGAGTGGAGGCTGCTGTCATTTTCCTGCTGCTGTTTAAGTGCACAGACTTCAGCATTCCCCACAACAGCAGTTATTTTCTGTTGGTTTGCCATTAAGTTTAATTTCTTGCCCATAACAGACACGTCATACCTTGATGAATTATGCTCTTACAGTTTATGAAGAGGAAAAACTGGTTATAATGCTTTTTTTCCTAATTGTTTAAAGAATATTTTCAAACAAATGCCTTTTAAGGAAAGGAAGCGCATGGTTTTTGATATCTGGTTTAGGTGGAAAGTGACAGCTTTCTCACAGAGATAATCTTCTTCATGTGTTTGAGAGTTTGGTATAAGACCAAATGTTTAAATAATGCATTTTCCTTTCAAAATTCAATTCTGTATGAAAATAAAATAAATCAACAGTGTCACAAAAAGCCAACACTGACCTTGTCAAAAAATCTCCATGTGAAAGGAAATTACTTTACAGATGCAAAGGCAACAGAAGGGAGCAAACTATCTTGCCAAAATCATTTTAATAACAGGTCCGTCATATTATCTGTAGACTCAACAAAAAGGTGCTTCCATTTTATTTATCTTTTAGGCAAGAATACAGGAACAGTGCCTAGAAAAGTTCAATAGCTTCCATACCTACTTACAAACCATGAAAAAACACAGCTAAGTTCAAAAACCAAACAAACATGTAAACATGTTTGTATGGCCCTATGATCTGCATCAGAACCTCCAGCAAGTTTTGTACACCTTCTCATCTGAAGTTTCCCTCATTGTGTGCACCCCACAGCGCTGCCTGTAAGGCCTTACGACACCTCAATCCTTACTTCTGTCTCTTATGCTTCTCTGAAATCCAAGCTGGGAGTCCTTGTTCAGGCCCGTGCCCCACACTTTGGTGATGTCAGTGGTGTTAGAAGACAGCAACGTGAATCCATAACCACAGGCAGCAGAGGTTATCTTTGAAGACAAACAAAAAGTAGCATTCAGTAATAAGCATAGAAAAATGAATCACAGGATTGTTAAGGTTGGAAAAGACCATTGAGATCACCAAGTCCAACCACCAAGCCAACCCCACATCCCTCAGAGCCACAACCCCGCAGCTCTGCAACACCTCTGGAGACGGTGACTCCACCACCGCCCCGTGCAGCTGTGCCACTCTTTCGGAGAACAAACATTTCCTGATCTCCAAGCTGAACCTCCCTCAGCACCACTTAAAGCCATCACCTCTCATCCTCTCGCAGTTACCTGGGTGCCTGACCCCCACCTCACACCTCCTTTCAGGCACTCGAGGAAGCTCAGAGAACACCTCGCTGCTCCCTGCTCCACGCTGACCCAGCCCAGCCATCACACCTGTGCTCCAGACCCCTCACAGCTCTGCCGCTCCCCTCCTCACCCGCTCCCACGGCCTCCTCACAACACAAACCCAACGCACTGACAAAGCGGTTCCCACAGCAGGAGGCGCAGGACAGCGTCTGCGTGGTTCTAAATCCCCCCGGAGGAGCCCGAAGCCTCTCTGTCTCCGACACCCTCACAGCGAACGACGCGTTGACAAGGAGCTTCCCAGTCTCCAGCTCCATAGCCCGGCTCCCCGCCCACCTTCTCCTCCGTTTCCAGTCGGTAAGGCGTCACTTGGATCCGCCGCGGCTTCTTCCAGCCCGCGTCCGGCTTCACGAAGCTGGGCACGCCCAGAGCGCCAGAGTAGGAGAAACCCCACACGAAAACCCGATCCTTCCGCTTAGCCGCCTTCCCCACGTACTGGAAGATCGGGGCGGCCTCATCGGCTTCCCGCAGCTGCCTGGCGCTCGGCGGCCCCGCGGGTTTGGCCAGGCCGCGGCGCGGAACTGGCGAAAGCCCCGCTGCTCTCGGCGCCCGCCTCACCGCCAGCGCCGCCATCTTGGTGACCTCTCACCTGCGCCGCCGGGCGCTGTGCGCATGTGCCGTACAGAGCGCTGCTTCCGCTCCCCTCGTCTTAAAGCGGCAATGCCGGCCATCACAGAGGGCGGGCCCCGCTCAAATAGAGACCGCAACCTAAACCCAAAGCCAGAACGTGGCCCAAGCTCTGCCGGCGCCGCCGCAGCAGGGCTGGCTGCGGTGTCACCTCACATAACCCTCGTGTTCTGCTCCCCGCTGTGTGGCAGTGCCACCCCCCACCATGCTGGGTCCCTCTGCGACGGCCAGACGTGGCAGCACTCAGGCTGCAAAGGGGCAGGAAGGGCCATGCGGAGCCCTGCAGCCCTTTGAGATACCCGGCCCCCATCTCACACCCCACCGCCATCTGGGGCAGCTTAGCCTCATGGCCTCCTCACGTCATAGCCGCCTCCTCATGGCCACCTCACTTCAAGGCCTCCTCAGCCCATGGCCGCTTCCCCTCAAGCAACTTCACCTCATGGCCGCTTCACCTCACGGCCGCCCGAGGCTCAGCTCACTCCTCACACCTGCACCTCCAGCCCCAGTATCCCACTAGAGGGAGCAAAGAAAGCTTTCACCAGAGAGCTTTCACTATTTAACCGAATTGGTTCAGCATCGATATCTTGTTTATTGATCAGTTGTCCACACACAGCGTGAAAGCGTTGAAACACACGTATAAAGTGTCTCTTTATGCTACGCTGCTTTTTGTACACGTTATTTAGGCTTTTCTCACAGTGACTGAAGCCCTGGCTGTACTCTCAGCGCAATGCTGGTAACTGTTAAAAACCAGAAGAAAAAAAAATCATTCAGAATTACAAATAAGGGATAAAAGCGAACCTGCTAGTGATGAGAAACCTGGGCTGTGGGAAGGCTGAGCCCAGAGGTGCTGGTGGAAGTGCTCACACCGCTCCTTGGGGCACCTTGGTGCTGGGGGGTTAACACACAGCTTGGGCTCACAGCTGCTCTGGGAGGCACGCAGACCCTCAGCCTGGCTCGCACTCCGCACGAGAGATAAAGCATCTGCTCGCAGGGTTTGGGGGCTGAGAGCCTCACATGATCTTCCTCCTGGTGCTCTCTGTGCAGCGGTTCATGATGAGGTCTTTGCTGGGCCGGGGAGGAACCGCAGGCTGAGCCTTTGACTTGTTCTCTTCTTGCTCATTTTTCTCAGCTGTGGATGAAACACACATAGAGATGGGTCACAGCTCTTGCACAACCCCACACCTCCATGTGCTTCTCCAGGTCTTCCTGTGAAAGGGCAGAACTGGAGGCCAAGCTGCCCTATAAGGGCAGCCCACGCCTGGGGCCACAAAGTGCAAAGGGTTTGAGAGAAAAGAAGACTTGCTTCCTCCTCCCCCCTACATCTTTCAGAGTGGCACAGAGATTCTCAAGTCTATTTGTTTATGCCACGCTGCCAGCAACCAGTGTTGGAGAGCATGAACCATGTCATAAAATCATAGAATAGCAGTCCTGCAGGACTTCAGTCCATGTCTAGGTCAAGGACCCTGCTGAGACTTACAGATGATGTCCTTGTTCTGCAAATTGCCCCTCACGTTCCTCCGGTTCTGCATGTACTTCTTGCTGTTCCTCCTGTAGGTTTCCTGGCTGATCTGCTTCCGTCCCTTGTTGTGGATACTCTTTGCATTGCGGATGGTGGATCTGCAGTAAGTCAGAAATTAAATGTTCCGTTTCCATAACCACAGCTCTCACTCACAGTTTCCCTCCTAGAATCCCCAGCCCTGCTTCTGTACACTGTGCTTCCTGCTCTACCTTGCCTGAACACCCCTACCCACTTTTCATTTCCATTTGACAGAAGGCAGCAGGTGACTGCCAGCATGGGGATGAACTGCTGTTAGGAAGCAATGCTTTGGAAGCATGTGCTGATGGTGAAACCTGAAGCCTGGAAAGTGAAGGTGGGGATGGCAAGATAGATCAGACACAATGCCGAAAAGGGCAGGAGAAGCACGAGGTTTTCACCAGAATTCAAGAAACTCCTGGAAGAGATGTACAACATTGGGTGGATGGATGGATATGGTATCTATGCTGGCTGCAGCACTGAGCTTCCCTGTATGGGATCTGGGGGCAGAGCCTGAGACAGGTGCCTGTGCAGCGGTCTGCTCAGTGCTGTGCCCGCAGCAGACACCACAGAGAGAAGTGAAAGGCTGAGCTCTGAGCTATGCAGAGCCACACTGCTGTGGGAAAGCCCCAGCATGCAGGGCAATCCCCAGGCAGGCGGACAGAACCATTGCTTTGTTGTCACAACCAGGATGAGAGTGGCGGCTTCCACCACCCACAGCACCATCCTGCTCTGCTGCAGGCACCTGCAGTCCTTTGCCTTCAGCCCCTGCCTTGTTTCAGCGCGTGCCCCATTTTGTAGCCAAGCTCTTCCCCACCGCAGTGGGAGTGCTGTGAGCCCAAATTCATGCTGTGGCCATTCCCTGGTAAGCAGCCAGTTCCCACCTGCTTCTGCTGTGTGCTGCCATCAGCAGCACAGCAGGGACAGGTCACTGTCCTCCCCAAGGGTATCAGTAAGCATCAGTGCACTCAAATAAGCAGATTTGTACCATTTTGCACTGCCTCACCATCAACCCATGCTCCAGCAGAGCCGGATTTTGAGAGATTTTATAGAAGGCTGCCTTGTTTTCTTGTGGGGGAAGAAAAGATCCAGGCAAGCTCTGCCCTTCTTAGCCATTGTCGTTGCATCAGAATTAATGAGCTATTATTGCTTTTTATCTTTTTAATCAAAATAAAATCCCTTCCATTAGCTCAAATCCTCCCATCAGATTAGGCCATTTGGCAGCCCTGATTAGTCAAATCTCTCCCCGCTTCTCAAAGATTCAGTGGATGCACTTAGGGGGAAAAAAAAAAAAAAAATCTAATTTGAAAATTAAACGAGATTAGCCCAGAAAAGAAACTCTGCAGAAGGACAAGGAGAAATGTGCCTGCCTGATCTGGGCTGGCACTGCTGCAGTCCTGCAGGATCTGCTCCTGTTCTCTGTGCTCTGCTCACCTCTCCCCTCTCTGTGCATTGCCAGGGTGAACAGGGGACACCACATACCCAAAAGTTTCATTTCACCCTCTCGATGAAGAGCTTTTGCCCTCTTCCTTCCCTCCCTCCCTTCCTCCCTCCCTCAGCTCATTTCCTACCTCCGGGGGGGAATGTTGTGGTTCCTCAGCCCACTTTTCTCGGGAGTGTTCACCTCCCCAGATTTCTGCAGGTACATGGAGGGGTAATAGCCTGTGGTTTCATCGTTCCTGCAACACAAAGCAACACTGCTTGTTCTCCAGAGCACAAATGCAGCTGGGATTCCCCTGGGAAAGTCCAAAACTACAGAGTGAGCTAAGGCTGGTCTGAAAGCTGAGGATTCACCAAACAAACTGTGCCAGAATACTTAGAGGCAGGAAAAATAGCAGATGCATTTTTTCCCATCTGCTGCCTCCTTGGTGGTTGCACTTAGCAAAGCCACAAGGCTACTAGAAGTCCTGCAAGAGAAAGCATTGTGCAGCAGCACCAGATGATGCACAGATGTCACAGCCCTGCTGTGGAGAACCTCAGGTCCATCCCATTGCCTGCTTTCGTGGTGTTTCTCACCTGACGACCCACCAGCCATCGAGCAGCTTGTGGATCACCTCGATGGTGTCGCCCTCCTTGAGTGTCAGCTCGTCCTCCTCCACAGCCGTGTAGCTTTTCTGCACCATGTACAGCTCACCTGCACACACACAACTGGGACATCACCCCCAGCAATGGGGCTCAGCCTCTCCTTCACTGAGCAGAGGAAGCACCAGAGCATCAACCTGCAATTTTAGGCAAACCCAGAGTGTTCCAGGTCTCCAAGACTGGGCTGAGCTCTGCTGGTGCAACAGCTGCACCAGGTCCACCCAGCACTTCTGCAGGAGAAAGCTGGCGAGTGCAAATAGTGAAAGGACATTTATCTAGGCTGAAAAGCGTGCTTGTAATTTGGGTGATTAAATGAGGAACAAGGAAGTGCTGTGCTGATAGAGTCTGCAAGAGTGTTTTGAAAACCACAAAGATGAAGCCCTGATAGCAATGAGCAGGAAGCTGCAGGACCCCTCCTGCTTGGCACAACAGGGAGGCGGGACAGCAGGGCAATAAGGGGAGTGCAGGAGCTCAGTGCAATGGAAAGCCTGTGCTGCTCCCCGTGCCCAGAGGTCCTGCCTTGCAATGAACTGTCCTGCAGAGGGGTGATGCTCTTGGGAACGCTGTGGTTTTCTGAGTGTTTTACCAGCATAGTTGGGCTCCTGCTCCTCCGATTCATCAGGACCATCCATCGGCTCCAGGTAGGCAGCTGGCACCCAGCCCCGCTTGTTCTTTAACTGGCAAAACCACCAACCTGCAAGGAAAGCAGGGTGGGCAAGAGCAGGGACAGCGTGGAGGCTGCAGGAGCGGCCAGCAGCAGCCGTGTTCCCCATCCCGTGTTCAGGAGTTCCCATGACATCCCCATGACACATCCGAAAGGGCGCTGGGGCTGTTCTTTGTTTTTGCGGTGGTGTAACTGGGGAGCCCAGCCACCTCATGCTGCTTCCTCTTGGGTGGGAACCGTTCCAGGCTGAGGCACATGAGGAGGCTGCAGGGTTTTCTAGGATTGCCTCACAACCCCACACCCCGACCAGAACCGACCGTCACGGGGCTCCATGTGAATCGGGAAGCGCTGACGAGTTTGGCGCTGGGCCTTTCCATCAGCAGCCCCTCACAACCTTTATTGTGGTGACACCATAGGAACACAGTGTTTGGGTGTAAGGCACAAAGGCTGTCCCCACCCCTGCTGAGATGGTGGCCAGGAGCAGGGCTGGCCCACAGCAGCATGGACGCCTACCAGTCTCGCTCTTCTCCACGACGTCCACCGCATCCCCAGCTTTTAGAGCCATCTCAGGCTTGGAGCTCTTCTCGTAGTCGGCGATGGCTCGGTACGTCTGCAGGACGATGGGGCCTGTGATGTCTGTGGGAGAAGAGAGACGTTCCCTCCTCGCACAGAAATACCCTACTTCAGCCACATTAAAAGCAACTCCAGTACAGCCTAACACAAAGCCTCAGCACCTTCTAGGACTCAACAGTTACATCCCGGACTCTTTTTCCCACAGGATGAGGTTTTCACACGGCAGCAGGGCTGCTTTTGCCCTCTGCTGTCAGCCACAGCCCCTGCCATGGTGCAGCCTGCCCCTGCTCAGCCCCATCCACCCACACTGCCCCTCTCCCTGTGCATTTTGCTGTGGAAGAGGCAGCCCCATGCAGCCCCCAAAGGCCTCTCACCGCTGGTGTTTTTCTTTGCATCCTTGGGCAGGAGGAACACCTCAGGCTTCCTGATCCTACATGGAGCAAAGTGGTGCATTAGCTAGGTCCCAAGAGCTAATTATTGCGTGATTAATTGGCGTTGCACCACAGAGGTGAAGAAGTGGCCCTGCTGCACTCACTGGCTGTCTGTGACGGGGTTCATGTCATCGGGCCGGACCTCGAAGAAGCTGACCACGTGCAGGCAGCGGGAGATCTTGTGGGGCAGGTTGACCAGCGTGTAGCAGTACTCAGCCAGCGTGCCCTGCCTGCTCTGCGTTGAACGCTGCCCATCAAACCACTTGGGGGCTGGGGGAGAGGGGAAAGGAGTCAGAAAAAGCAGACAGAAAGCCATGGATTTACATCTTGCTTGAGCAGGTTGCTCTGCACCTGAAAACCAGCAGCTTTGGTGCCAGTGAGCAAGTGCAGAACTTGCACAGCTGAGCTCATCCCCGCAGCCCACAGCCCTTGCACAAGCCCTAGGAAAACCCCATTGAACCCTATTTTGGTTACAGAATAACTCCCACAGCTGTGCTCAGGCTGTGCCCTGCTGTAACGAGGCTCACTGCCTCCAGAGCACCAGGAATGGCTCAGAGGACCATGCAGACACATGGACATCTCTCCTTCCCAGCAAACCCCACTTGCAGCTCCAACCCATGGCACAGCACTGAACCCCACACTGGGCACACACGTGAATGACACCCCACAGCTGTCCCAATCCTGGTGCTTTCAGTTCTCCAAACACAGCAGCGTGCTGTGCTGGGCAGCCTCGTGCTCAGAAGAGGACACTCCTGGCAGCTTGGAATAGCAGAAAGCAGAAAAACAACCATCGTGCTGTGCACTGCAGAGAGCTTCCTTGAGGAGTCAGAGCCCACAGCTACTTCTCCCTCCCTGCCTTGTTTGAGGAAGGAAATTAAATGTAAGGGGGATTTTTCCTGAGCTGCACCTTGCTTAGTTAGGTACAAAGTGTCAGTTCTTTGCATCAGTTTATACCATTCTCTTTGAACATACATTGCATTGCTTCCCCTTATACCTTTCTCTATCATCACAAAAGCACCAAAGCCATCCTGTGGATGGTGTCACCAAAGGAGGGCTGTGTTCAGCTGCAGCTGCTCAGCACACCTTCTCCTTTACACCCACCCAGGACTGAAGCTGATGCTCTGGGATGCATCCCCAGGGCACCCAGCACCAGACAGACCCTGCTTGGGTTTTGATTTCCAGCCCCAAAAGCAGGAACAGAGATGGCAGCCAATATCTGCACAGGGGCAGAGAGCAGTTAGGGGCGATTCTCCAAGCGGCTGTGATTTCTGGTCCAGCCCCCAGGCTTCTGCCTCTTACCTGGTAAGTGTGGGATGATCCGGTTCTCCGCATTGATGTCTCCAGACTCGATGGGGAACATCTCCTTCAGTGCTTTCTATGGAGCAGGGCCGAGCAGGGCTGTGAGAATGGCGCAGGGACCCTTCCACAACACCCACAGCTCATCCCTCCCAGCTGCAGTCTGCAACCCAACACCAGGAGAAACCTCCCTGAGGACACCGGACTCCCCATTCCCGAAGCAAAGGAGATGTAAACACAGAGACCCGAGAGCCTCCTTTGAGCCAGGTTTATGTGGGGGCAGTTCCAGCTCAAACCTGCTGTCTGCTTTCCAGCCCCAAAAGCCTCCCTGCCCGACCCTGGATGTGGGGTGGTGTCTCCCTGGGTCTGCTCACATGGAACATGTAAATCTCGGTGAACCGGCGGTAGATGAGCTTTTCAGAGAGGTCATTCCACTTCACCAGGAACATGTAGACCTGCGGGGCAGAGCAGAGTGCTGCAGCTCAGCACGTGGCCGGGACCCCAAACCCCAGTGGGGTTTCATCCTCTGGCTGCTTCCAGCCCATGTCATTCCCATGACCCCCAGCTCCACAAAGGGACGCTCTTAAACGCTTCATCACTGCTATCTGAAGAAACACATTGGCCAGGCTTTTGCCCTCCACTGCTGGCTGTGCACTTACATAGTGTTGGCTGGGGAAGAACCTCTTCTCATAGCCCAGCAGCTCGATGTGCCGGATGAAGGCATCCCCCATAGCTGCTCCCACTGGGTTCTGTGCTGCTGCCTCCCTGTGCTCTGCTCCCGTCTGCCTTCGCCTTGCACTGTTTCAGTTAAAAGCCCCAGGAAAACGGAAGCTGTGCTGCAATCACATCTGTAACTGTTCACCCTCTGTAGCTTGTATTGAACCAGCATTTCCTGCTGCAGCCCAGCCCCAGTCCACCCCTCGCTGGAGACAGCGCAGCCTCCAGCCCCAGCAGCCAGGTGACACTGCCCTGGGATGGCACAGGAGCTACAGTGCTCATTTTGCAGGCAGGACAAGGCAATGGGAGCAGGAGTCTGTACTCACTCCTTCTGGAAGCGCCCAGCGTGCCCCCGAGCCCAGGGACAGCGGCACCATCCGCCTGGAGAAGCAGGGGGGACAGGTTGCAAACAGGCTGGGCCCTGCCTTTGCATCACCATTTTCTTCCCATCACCTGCAGCATCCCCAAAAAGCTGCCACCAAGGATCTCATCACCTCCACCGGTGGCCCTGAGCCAGGCAAGGTTTGCTCCGGCTGCATCGAAGAGATGAAACCCAGCAGCTTTACCCCCGACCCCAGGCATGGGATGCTGCAGCTGCTGAGGTAACACATATGGGTCAAACAAACGTTTCTTTTTGACTTTAAGGTGGGTCACCTATAAGTGAGTGAACATTGAGCTACAAATCATATATTAAAAAAAAATCCACCTAGAGCTGTTTGCATTCTGCTAACAGCCAGATTGCTGTTATATATGCAGAAACGTTTTTACGAAAGCTCATTTCTTAATTAGGGTTGTACTAAATTTAAACCTGAGTTACAGACAGTGCATCGCTGGAAATAGTGCACATGTTTATTTCTATTTCCTCATTTTTCTTCCTGTAATGTGAGAAGTGAAATGGAGGTTTTAGGTCTTACTGCTGGCACCGGGTTCGTCTATAATGCAATGCAAGGCATAACTCAGCGTGCTGCTCAGTATGATGCACTGATTAGTGCTCCCACTAATTGCCCCACAGTTCCTAGATAGGAAGAAAAGTCATTTCAGAAGAAAATTCTTGGAAGAGTAACGACCCAGCTGAGACATAAAGCTGATTTATGGAGTTCATCAGAGGATTCATGTGTATGGAAAACAAAGCTGGCACCTGAAGGCAGCACCTGATGCCTGAGCGATGCTGAGAATTCCCACTGGCTTCAAATGCCAGCAGCAGCAATGCTCCTCAGCACTGCACACCTCTTCTAGGGGAAGCACGACTTCAGCTGATGGGGTTTGTATGGTCAAGAAGGGCACCGAAGGGGAAGCACTGGACGTGTGAAGCTCCTCGGGAGAATGGAGTGCCTCCTTGTGCATGGCACTGCACCCACAACCAGCACCAAAGGACTGTGCTGGACCTCCCGTGACACCCAGTCATTGCTGCAGTGAGATCAGGGTGCTGACCTGAGGGTGTCCTACACTGCCTGCAACCAAACTGCTCTTAAGGAGAGCAGAACCAGCTCACGGAGCAGGACAGGCTGACAGATGCTCCTCTGGCACTTCATCAACCCCAGGGATTCTCTGCTGGAAGAAAGAAAACATTCAGAGCTCTGGTAAGGTGTTACAATTGTATTTATTTCCTCATTTATCAGTACAGCCAAGGCTTTTTAAGGCATTATCACTCAGTGCCCAAAGAGTGGAACACCTTATGTATTACTAGTTCAGAAATGAATCAGATTTTCATACATGGTCAACACCTTAAAAGTCTGCTGCCTACTATATACATAGATCATTTTCAATATAAAATTGGTATTTGGAAGGTATAAATATCAGTGCAATTACTTTGACAGTTTAATTTATCCCTACTGCTTATCACTCAAAATGCCCGAGACCATCAAAAGAGCCATCAGAAAGAATCGACAGAGCACTGCTGATGTGCCCCCCAACACTAATGAGAACTGCCATAGGGATGGACCCAATCCCAGCCTTCAGCATTTCCAGTAAAACCACCATCATCAGTTTTCACTTCACTTTTCCAAGCTCTCATATGCCCAGGGTGTGATGCATTTCCAGGACATCCGCGCCAGGCAGCAGCCTGAACTGTTTTTACAGTTCCTTCATTATAATGCCCCGCTCAACTCACGTTAGCACCAACTCCATATGAGCAGCACAGAGCCCTGCTGGGCAGACAAGGCAAGGAGTGCTGCCCCAAGGGCAATGATAGTGGAGGAGGGATGGCCCTCCCTTCTGCTTTCTCGAAAAGGGAAGCTGAAAATGCATGAAAAGCTGTGTTAACTTCATTTCCCCACCCTAAAAACGTCTGGCAGCAATTGTGAAACTGGCTGTCATTCTGTTTCAACTTATCTACAGAGGTCCACTGAAGTGAAATATGTCAGTGGCTATGAGCTGGGGGAGTGCCCACATCACTGAGTCACCAGGTAAAAAAATCCATTGGGCTCACTGCTGTGGGGCTGACACAGGGCAGCACTGCATCCATCACCTGCTGTCAGCACTTTAAACGGCTCAGCACAGAGCCATCCCTGTCCCCACTGCCACCACAATGACAGCCAGATACTTACAATGCCTCCAAACATCATAGAGCAGGAGCACTTAGACCTACGTGGAGCAATCGTGCCAGCACATGAGCTACAGCCCTCTCCCTGCCTTACACCCACAGCATGGAAGCTGTCTGCAGAGTTCCTCCTGTCGATGTTCCTCGGGACAGACACTACATCCAACTGCACACAGGTCTTCAAAATTGTCCTTGCAGATGCACCACTCAGAGCTGCTTTCCTTGTCCAAAGGGTGGAACAGGAACTCAGTTCTTCACTGTAGTATCTATGCTGTAGCATATTCTAGCTGCCTACAAAGTTACTGCTAAGTGAACATATATGGACAGTCACAAAAAACCATCAGAAATATCTTTATTTCTTAATGAGGGAATAAGGTCGAGCATTTGTGCATCATGCAGTCATCCCAACCTCCTCGAGCCAGAATTCTACAACTCTCACGGGTTGTGAAACTTCAAGAAATGAATACATGAGACTCTCACATGATGTGGGGCATAAACAGGACTATGGGAGATTTAAGTTCTGAGACATCAGGGCTTACAGCAGCTTGTGATGCAGGATTCTGTAGGTAGTTCTGGATGAACAGCAGGGCATTACCCACAGCCTGCAGGAGAAAAACTCACTCTGTTTTGCCTAAATTAGGGCTGCCAGAGCAGACCCATCATACAAATCCCACGTGATGCTCTGATAAAACATGCACTTATTACTTCCAATTAATGGAGCAAACTATAAAAGGATTAAATTTAAAAGGGTTCCTAGTCCACAAACTGATATACTGCCCATCTCATTAGTGCATACTAACAGTCAAGTGAACCAGTTTACCTTTTATTTATGAGAAACAAATGAGTTGTGGCAGATGTAGGAAAAATTAGTGCAAATATACACATACCACTGACCAATCAGCCATGAAAGGAGTAAGAACTAAAAAAATCAGTGATCTGTTTTCTCCAAAGTGAAACCAACAAACGGAGCTGCTTGCACTGTTTCTTCGTTACAGAAGCTGAGATATATTCAGGCACAGTGGAATTCAGCTTCATTGGGAAAAGTAGATGGCCTCTGTTAAGTCCCCGTTCACTTGAATCCTTATCATCTCCCCAGTATTGCTGCAACAAATTCAGTCCTTATCATATATTCCAGAGTAAAACCAGCCATTCCAAACCTGCAGTCATTCTTCACATGCAGTCAATTCACAGAACTGCTGAAAAAGTAGACATTTCTATCTCAAAGTACAAAAGGGTTTGTACAGAAGGTACTTCTCTTATACAGTTACATCACACAGCTCAGCACAGTCCTGGCAAGCTCTTCTCAGCTCTGGGTGCTTCTGGCTAGACAGAAGTAAAACGAAAGTGAGTCAGTTTCCCTGCTGATCTGTGACGTGCTACAAATACTTGTGGGCTGCACTGCTTTGAGTTCTTCAGGCTCAGAATTAAAGACCACTCAGAAGGTGAACACTGCTCTTCATCAGTGGGATTACATGTGTGCTCGAGTGCTTCCTACATCAATTTGATGGAATACTTGCCTTAATACATATTCTTTAGCTAGTCCTTTACAAAGAACATAAGGACCACTGCAGCTCTGGAGCAAGGCCTGTACCATGCCACTGCCACACAGGGATGGAGCAGATGTTACAGAATTACACAAATGCTGTCTGCAAGAGGCTCCAGCCTCGCTCCCAAAGGACTGCAGCTCACAATAGCTTAGCCCTGGTGCTGACAGATCTTAACATCCACCAAGCAGTGGGTTCTGCCACTTCTCTGTGTGACTTTTATCCTTTTGTCAGAGCCTTGAGATGTGCTGGGAGTGCTTCACAGGGCTAATTTGTGCCTGGGTGCCCACAAAGCTTGTTTCATATCCTAAGGAAAGTGGAAGAGAGTCAGCAAGAGAACAAACCTACATTCTCCAGGTGAAGCCCATCAGCTGGGATGCTCATACATACACAGCCTTCATGTGAGTGTTAGAACTACCAACAACAGATGCATGACATCAGTTAGGCCACGTCATGTTCTCCATCAGTCAGTGTTTGTGCTGCACTGACAGAGGGCTCTTCCACCAACCACGTCAGAGCTCTTCACAAACATCATTTCCCTCTGAGGTACGTAATTACCATCACCTATTTTTATCCACAGGCTGTGATACAGCCCAGATCTCCCTTGGAACGACTCCCTCACAAATCTGAACACAGCACACTTCACCTTGTATTCTGGCAAGGTAGCGAAAACATTCTACACAGAAGAGAACTAAGACAAAACAATTCCAAGTCAAGTGAAGGACTGGCACCTTCTGGCATCCAATCTTCGCCCTCTCCTCCCCACCCTGCACTGTAAAAGCATCATTCCCTGACCAGGGCCTACTCCCCACACGCACTAACTCCAGGAACCACAACATTCTCTCACCGCAGTAGGGATGAGCTCTACCACGTTGGCTCTGGTTCTTGCTTTATTTGACAACTTTCTTCTGTTTCTGTAACATCTGTTGAAAAAGGACAAATGCAGTGAACAAATGAATGAACTGAATGCCTTCCAAAGCCAGCAAACAACATCTGACCACACGCCCTTGTGCTCAAGTCATGCCTTCTGGTTAACAAATTAACATTCATTGCACAAGCTTGTTTTCTCAGCACTGGCCATTTCTCAGACTTTATTTCCATCTGTAAGACCCCTGCTCTCCCCAACCACACACAGACCATTTCTGCATCGTTATATTTCAATCCATGCAAAATAAATTTTGACCTTAGCTAA